CTGCATCGGGACCAATAATAATTTGTAAATGTAGCTTTGACCAATGGTGCCATTATACTACCAGTACTGGCTTCATCGTTACACTCATTTGACCCTTGACCATCATGCTCCATCCCAAGACTATATAAATAACCATCAAAAAAATCATTTTAGTTCAAATGTTACAGGGGAGAGAATTAGTAATTTTATGTCAATGTTTCCTTAGAGCTTAGTTTCTCATGGTTATAAGCAGGCTCTGGATCTCTTGCAGCTGAAATACTGGTACAGCTGAAATACTGGTACAGCTGAAATACTGGTACAGCTGAAATACTGGTACAGCTGAAATACTGGTACAGCTGAAATACTGGTACAGCTGAAATACTGGTACAGCTGAAATACTGGTACATCCGTAAATGAACAAATGTTGTAATCATGTCACTACTGCAACACTTTAGTCTCAATAAAAATTAGAAATACTCACACGTGTCCAGTTTCATGGGCCATGACAAATGCAGAGGAAAATCCATCTTCTTTGTTGAGAGTACAACTTCTAAATAGATGACACATGCCAGTCACTGGTGCATAACCTGTCATAACAAAATAGTATAAAGTTTGATTTATTCTCTCATAGCAAGATATAAACAAATAAGAACAGCTGACATCACTGCTCATGTACCTACTAACAGTTTCTGGTCAATTCATGTACTTGAGCGATTTTTATTCTTATATTGAAATTGTCATCAAATTATGCTTTTATTTAAATTTTTCTTTGGATTTTTAAAATAAAATTTGGACAAAAAGCATAATAAAATAAAAAAGTCTCTCAGCTGAGATAGCTTTGCTATTAGCAATCCTCATTTCATATGTAATCTGTACCACTGTAAAAGAAAAAAGTCCTGTTTGCAGTGTAACTGAAGGCATGAATTCAATGAAGGAGATATAATAACAAAACTATTCATAGTGTATTAAACAAGATCCCTAAGGTGAACACAAATTTTGAGACTCACAAAGTAAAGGAATCTTAACATTAACACTATCCACCGTTAGCGTCATCATATCCACCAGCCATACTATAGGTAATCATCAATTTGGTCTGAACCTCCTTAAAAACTCACCTGCTGGTCCAAAATTTTGTCTTGTCAGAAAAATAGCATGGTCGTGATGTGGTTTATTTGTGCCATCTCTGTTTTGCTGCGTATGTGCCCATCTACAAACATTTTCTAAACTTTGAGACGGCTGACCAACTCGCACCAATGATGCCTGCAAATAAATAGTATTGAAAGCAATGAAGAAAAGACACTATTGACAGCACATCCAGTAAATGTGTGACAGAGAATGCCTGATAACACAAATGAGTGTACAAAACCATTGTTATGAGGTTACAGCTATGTGTAGAGCGCCATCTATGGCGTAACCTAACTTGAACGTCACTCGTTAAATGTTGTAGTTATTAGCTTTGACAGCCCCACCCCTGAAAACATGTTCTACGCCTTTTTTTTATTCAACATACCTGACTTGCATCCAGCAGTATAATCCTGACCAATGCAATATTGAGATTCACTCCAAGTGTCTCGTGTTTATATACACTATTAACCTGCAAATATATAAAGAGGCATTACATAAAACGAAAATACAAGCGATGATTATATTCATATACACTATATTGTGTTTGTAATCCGCTAGTTTTAAGTTCTCTGGTTGGCACATGACTGAGGCACGTTAGTGTTGATTTCGAAACACATGCAACATGGCAAATGATGCTCTCAAAATTAACTTTGAAAGAAAAACCCATATTCCCTCATCCTGCATAAATATAATTTCTTTTGTTTTTATCTGTGCTTTTATATGTTTAATATGCACACAAAAGCACTTTTGCGTATTCCGTCATAGGGCTCTTTCAAAATAGCATTGTGAATGGTAACAATATTATTTAAAGAGGAACCCGTCAATCTTAGGGATTGCACCAGAGGATCATGTTACACCATTCTTCATGTTTACACTGTTAATCTGACTTTTGTGTGTGTATTTTTTAATATAGTGAGTGAATATTCTGTGAGATTAGGCTTAACTGGAGGTGCCCTTTAAAGAGAGCTACATATATACAAAATGGGGTAATTTTATAAATGTCCTTGCATATCTTAATGACCAGAGTTAGTATATGTAATGTGTGTGACCTGGCCCTGTAACCTAGCAACCATACAAGTTCATACAGCTAGAATAGATTATTTTTGTTGATTATGGTGATATTAATTTTAAAAGGAAATATATAAATGAAATACTCACAATATTCATTAGAGTGAGTAAATATATTTGAATATTATTGGATCCGTGAAAATCAACAACCGAGTGGTCTGCGGTTAATAGAACTTCCATGTGTTTTTGTCCTATGCTTCGTTTGGCCCTGTCTTCAATACTTCGACCAATCACATCACTGGCGCCACCGAGAAGATTAAATGGGGCAACTAGAAACAAAACCAAAATATGGATTAGTCAGTATTTTGTTTATTGCGTTATTTGTCAATATTTTGTAAATATTTTTCATTTCATGTTATTTATCAACATGTGTCCATTAAATATGTTATTTTACAGAACTCATGAAATATCATGGTTGTTTGTCTGTTCATTTACCTGTGTCGTGATCACCGTGTGAAGACTTTTTCATGGAAGACCTTTTATACATTACGTGTAGAAATTCGTCACTCTCAGTGTCATTACTGTTCCAAGTACTCGTATAATTATTATTGTAAGATGGTGCATTTTTCTCCAATGGTTCGATAAAATAGTCTTCGCCGTTTACTTGGATGAAACCTGCCTAGAATACACACAAATGGAAAGATCCGACAATTAGATAAACACAACCGTCATAACAAAATTGACCAAAATGCTGTTAACCGGAATAATGTGTGTAATCCGATTTGAAGCAAGGAATACTATGTTTCCATTACTCATGATATCATCAGGCATAGAACACTGTTTTTAGGACGCTCATTTATGACCCGGATGTATGATCGTGTAAGACGTAGATTAATGTTCCTAGGTCGCCCATCAGAATCATTTACAAGTACGCTGATTGGATTTAAGTTTGCTCAGGTGACAGGTTAAAAAGTGGCACGCGAGCCAACAGATATAACTGCCTGTATTATCGGTGTTTACTCTGCAAAGCTCTTTACAGGTTTACAGTTTTATTGATTTATAAATAAATGCTCATTTGCTATTATATATATAGTGTGTAGTCTGATAAATAAATATCGACCTTTGAACCCAGAGTCAGTCTGGAGGAAACGTGCGATACACAGATGGGCGATCGTGTGTTCAGTATTAGATTCATGTTGACCAATGTTTTCATTGGTCTTTAGAGCCTGCCTTTCACATAGATTGTACAATAACCTTAGAGATTCCAGACACCATACATTAGCACCTTATTGAAAAAACATCCATTTCCTTTACATTCATTTGGTGGGTGGGTGTGTGTTTGTTATTCTCTTATTTCCAAGGCGGTGCCAACTCCTTCTATCGAAAAAGTCAGTCGCACTCTCAGCAAAAGTCCGAAACACGTGACGTGGTTTCCCTGTGTCCTACTGACAACCACATCCTGTTTATTTAATTTGAAATATCCACTTATAAGAAACTATTTTTCTGGATGAGCGTCACAAAAGACGACTTCGTGTGAACTGCATGGCTGATTCAACTCTAGTAAACAGAGAAGACGCGTGGGTAAAGTCTGGCGAGGATCGACGGCTCCCGGATAAATCTCACGATGTCACTACTGTTCACATTGATACAAGTCAAATAAAAACAATTTGTAAGTGGCATTAAAGGTCGAGTAAACAATGTCTGTTCAGTTGGTGGCCGTGTACCATGTACAGACTATTTAACCCTCTTACTATGTATGTCAAGGTGTCACCTAGGCCAATCAAAACAACGAATTCCAAGTGGCATAACGCAACAGAGCAACAACGTCGATTTGTCCTTCTCTGGCATCCGTGATTCATCTCAAATCGACGTGTTCAATATGGAATATTTGTTTAAAATTCAGTTTCCATGAATCAAATATTTGGGTATTCTAGTACAACTTGATTGATAAAGTTTTTTTTAGGACAAAGACGTTAAAGGACGGTGGTTTTCGAATTTCATGTAAACAAACAATGTATTTGACAGGCGTTGTGTACGTTGCTATGAGTCCCATATCGAAGAGGACGCGGCACGACAACCACCAAACTTTAAATAACTAATGTTAGCGAGTTCAACTATGTATAATTATGGCAATACTAGTGAACAAAGTAAATACAACACTGAGCCACTCGTCAATAACCTCTGACTTTTCACGAGTGATATCGACCAAACTACAAATTAAAGATTTTTCTTTTAAACTGTAAAACACCCTATAAATAGACTCAAAATATAGCAGCCCTCAAATTGATAACTCAACATTTGTAAACTTTGTTTACATCAGCATATACTCAATCATGATCTGATGCCAATATCCAAACATAAAGTAGCGCTAATAATAAACCAACCCTAAAATAACAAGTTGTATAGCTATCATTTAGACTTAAACTACACTAAAATAAAATCACTAAAATTTGATAAATTGAACCGACACTCTGCGGTCGTCGCAAAGCGCGTGTTCGAATTCCGAATAAACAAACAATGTATTTTTACACGCGTTGTGTACGTCGTTATGGGATCTATATCGAAAAGACGCGTCGTCGACCACTTCCCTTTATATCCTTCCCTTCTCAAGTTCCTATGTAGTCACACATAAGTTGACCGGATCACGCTTTTTGTTCATGATAATGCGGAGTATAAATATTTTCTCCAAATCAGCAAGTATGATTTGTAAATCTTCGTAAATATATTGCAAAATAAATTGAATCATATTGAAATACAAACAACATCATCGCATTCTTTCGGACAATGCCATTATCCATTATCTAGGATCGGTGATGGCATGGCTTACCACCATTAGTAATCATTGAGGCCATCCGACCTTGAGCGTTATGCGGCTTTGAGATTCCAACGTGAGCTGAAAATAACAAATCACAAGACAAGACTATATGTGTAATTGACTGGTGGTGAAAAGGTCACACACTCCCTGTGGAGTGAAACGAAACGAACCGTCCTGTCATATTCATGATCAGAGCAACTATCGTTTCCATGGCTACGTAAATACTGCAATCGCCACCTGACATACAGATGTAACGCTATTTGAAACCACCCCTTCATGAGGTATCTACTCGTACATTTCATTGAAGACATCATAATGATATGAAATTATGGATAATGCATATATAAGATAAGATAAGATAATTCTTTATTACAACCTTATAGAATGAATTACATATCTATTTTGGTTTATAAAATGTAATAAAAGCATAAACAAGCAACATATACAGACCAATCATGGAGAGTTTAACAACATATACAGATCAATCATGGAGAATTTAATAACATATACAGACCAATCATTGACCTGAATAAGCAACTTATTACTAGTACCCACGTTGCAATAATATAAAAGTAAATACAGTTAACGTTGTCACTCATAGTCAGTCCATGACGCTAATGTACTGACAACACCAAACAAATAAAATAGGCAAC